GTTATCCCTATCGCTATGGCACTTGCTTTCTTCTTCTCTCTTATCGAAATCAATAGAGAGGGGACGCCACTAGAGATAGAGATATTGATCGCTATCCATTACAGAGTTCCAGCCCAGGTAATTCACGACGGGGCCAGTTTTTGTATTTGCCACTGCTTTCAGATACGCAAACTGTAAATCCGTCCACTACCACAATTGACGTGTCTCGCATAAATAGAAAAAGACAGCTTAATTGTACTAAATACAAGTTAGAAAGTAATGAAAAATGACATGCGCGCGCAACTCGTGACTGCAGTGTAGCCAGATTGTATTGTTGCAGAACAAATATAAACAATACGAATCGAACATTAGAACATTAAAAAAATGATATATTGTCAAGTGTTTTACAACGCCTTAAATCAGACAAAAGAAGACCTTCAAAGTGTATGCGTTAATATCGTTCGCACTTATTTTGATAAATGTTTCATCCGGCAACATCGCACAATGAAATTGCAAAGGAATATGTCAAGTATAATCTAACATAACCTTAAACGACACTGCGGTAAGTTCAAGTAATACGTAAAGTAATAATTTGCTCTTTGTCGAATTACACGTTACAAAGAAAGAAGGAACGATTAATTCTGAACTCGTCCCTGAATACGAATATGACGCAAGCCCATAACAAACTCGATTCTCATTGGACGCTTACCTGCAACCCACGAGTTGCGCGCGCACACCAGGTATTACGAGACACGTCAATTTGTTTTTCCTTCTGCTTGTTACGGATGGTCCAAGGCTATGTGAATCGTGTCCATCGGAATAGCTACCTTTTCTATTTGGTAGAGACTACCTGGAATTTTTCCAGAGGGGTTTTTGTTATACATAGGCACCCCAAGAATAAGTTTATATAATTTATCGTATAGTTCCCCATGGACAAGGAAACCATATCAGGCTTTAACCATTTCCATGGTTCTCTTGAGGGAAAAATGACCCCAGTCAACATGATAGAATGATAAGATTCTTCTTCTAACACTTTTTGGAATTACCCATCTTTTGCCTTGCTCAGTTTTTCTGTAGAGCCGTTTGTTTTTTAATCAGTACTCTTTGTATATTCTTTGCTCTTCTTTATTGGTAGGAGTTTTTGACAAAGTCTCAATAATCATCTTACATCTTTCATCTTGGGGCTGTGCTGTCAGAATCCAGTCATCTTCTTCAATATTTACTGAGAGAATTTGAAGATCAGGAACTAGCTCTGCCGTATCTCTACTGAGCGCATCAACGTAATTCATCTTCGTTCCAGCACGGTATCCAATATCGAAATCAAATTCTTGAATTGAGATCCACCAGCGTGCAATCCTGGACACCAAGTCTCTTTTTGATAAAGTATGACGCAACGAATTACAGTCTATCACCACTTTAAACTTTAATCCGATTGAATATATACTCTAATCATTTTCAAGGAACATACCACTGCTAAAGTTTCTGACTCGTACGAGTGGTACTTCTGCTCCCCTCTAGTAGTAGCCCTGCTAAAATATTGTACGGGCTTCAAGGTGGTGACCTGTAGTCGCTGTGATAATATTCTTGCTTACTTGCATCGCAGTGAACTTCGGTTTCAGCTCCTAGCTCTTTTGTGAATATGTAGCTAAAACATGTCTTTCAACTAGTTTTTGTTTAAGTTCAGCGAAAGCATTTTCTTGTTGTTCGCCCCAAACAAAATTACAATTTTTTCGCGTTAATGAGGCTAAAGGTTTTGATATACCAGCGAATCCCTTTATGAACTTAGGGAAATAACCAGCTTTAGGTTTTGGAAACTCTGAGACATACAGCATTAATTTTGTCTGGTCCCGACTTAATGCCTTCCCTTGAAACTTCGTGCTCAAAGTATTCAATTCTTGATTGCAGAAAATTGCATACGCTGATTCTCAAAGTCACTCCTGCTTTTAAGATTAATTCGAGCCTTTCCAAGCCTTGTTCGACGGTTTCTGATGGAATAATCACGTCATCGCATATCTGCTAATGCATATTTAAAACGTAGTGAACCTGAAATTTTATTCATGACTGACTGGAAGACAGTAGGCGCATTGATTAGGCCAAATGGAACCCTCAGGAACTTATAGTGTCCATAGGGTGTAACAAAAGCTGTTTTTGGGATAAAATCTTCCTCCATAGGGTCTGATGGTACCCAGATGCCAAATTCAGGGCGGTAAAAAAATTATTACCTTGAAGATAATCTATTAGGTCATCTATTCGAGGCAAATTTGAGACCATTTTCTCAGTCTTTTGTTTAGCAGACGATAGTCGACGCACATTCTAACTTCGCCATGCTTTTTCTTGACCAACAAAATGGGACTAGCAAAGGGAGAATCAGATTCTCTGACAACTTCGTTATCCAGAAGGTCCTGGATTATACCTCTTACCTTTTCGCGTTCCGCAAACGCCATTTGATAGGGCTTTTACGTAACTGGCTTATTGTCGGTGAGCTTTATCGAGATCGTAACAGTCGTCTTGCCAATTTCGGACGATGTTGTAGCAGAATAGTCTCGGTAGGTACTCGTTGAGTATTTTTAGTAAGCTAGCCAGCTGTTATTCATTCAAATTAGGACAAATTCGAAATTTTTGAAAGGTATACCTATCCATTTCAAGGGCGTTATCCTCGAAACATATACCTGTACCCTCTAACAATAATATTATCTTTTTTGTAACAAATAGCAAATTGGTCTGACAAATTCAAGTATAGGTAAGCATTTTCTTTCAAATTCATGACGCATAACATGGAGGAATAATACGCAAATTATTTGATCATTCTCTTTGCTGAAAATCAACAAAAACGTCACCAATATCTCCTATATTTTTAATATTAACGTAGCCTATATGATGAGATGGAATTGTAATAGTTTCGCCTTTACACGTAAATTTATTTTCTTTGAAAGTAGTAGTTCATCAATTTTTTCTGTTTTTAGCACAGTCAAATTTCAATTGTTTAACAGACATATCTGGTTGTCTTCAACAACAACAGTATAGTCTGTTTAAAGTCAGTTGAAACAAGGTAGAGATAAATCACAACTGGTAGCTAACTTTTGATTGAATACTTTCATAAGAAATGCACTGCCACTAGTCAGCCACCATTTTTCACCTTGTTTCAATTGACTTTAAAAAGACTATAATATTTTTATTATTTATAAATGGTTGTCCGACAATATTTAGAATTTCCTGTATGTAATCAGGAACAACAAATGCCTCCACAGAAGCAGAAGCGAGATCAACTTTTAAATTTATTCTTGTCTTAGATGTAGGGATGACAGAGCCTCCCTGCGTAGCCACACAAACGTAATTGAGCAGGAACGAACTTAAGTTTTAGTTTATCGGCATCTGACTACCGTATCAACCTGAATCTACAAATCCCCTCAAAGATTGTTCATTAATGTTGCAGTCAATAAAATAACAAGTATCAGAAGGATTTTTTGTGTCTGAAATAGCAGAAACTGGTCTTGACTCACCCGTCTCACCCTCCTCTGATAGGTCAATTCGTCTCTCCTTATTCACCACACATCGACTTGCGTCATGTCCCAATAGATTGCACTTTTAGCACGTAACACGAGGATTCGAACACTTTGATTGAAAATGCCCTTTTAACTTGCAGTTGAAACATTTTATACTTTGCAAATCCGGTTTCATGTATGGTTTGTCACGTGAATTTTGGCTTCTTCTCATGACTATCGATTCGTACAGCTGATAGGCATTCCTCAAAAAGAGCCTCCGGGATCACGTAACGACCAGCCCTTGCAGAATTTTGAATTGTGTTATCTGGAATTCCATCTATGACACAGGAGACCTCATTTTTACCGGATATTTGGCACAGACGAAAGAGTTCCATTATTTGGAAATAATAAGTGGACATTGGTTCATCCATCAGTTTCTGACGGTTCAGCATTTTTCGCAAAGTATTTGCAAAGTCAGTGTGGTCCGGAAACGTCTTGTTAATTAATTTTTTCCATTCAAACCAGGTATAATTTAAAGAAATTTATTATACCAGGCTCTCGCCGTACCGCCTAAACGAGCCTGCATATGATAGATCGTAGTGATATCGTTCCATTGAATAATTGATTCAATTTGATCAATTTTTTCTATCCATCTTACTGCCGACATGTTCCCATCTTCTGGGCAGAACTGTGAAATACACTCAGTTCGTATTGCTAGTTTATGAGCTGTTGATTGCCCGTTAGACATATTATGGTCGATAATGTTTTCGAGTCTTTTAATCCTCTCCTCGTATAGAGATTTTTCAAAATCCATTGTAAGAGGCACATGGCGTCACATCATCTTGCCTAGAAGAAGCCATCAATTAATATTTTTCATCCGCTTCCCTATATGACCACATCCTGGGTCTGGATTCACAGGGCAAAGTTGTCGGTTTTTGTTTCCTCTCGTAGGGTGACTTATCAGCTCTTCCTAATGGCGGAGTGTGACTACGTTCAAAAGTCGTTTTACCGTATCTTGATCTCGATCTAGTCGAATCGGAGCTCCAACTCGGGCTTGAACTGTTGGAACTATTTCGTAGCTTCGACCTTTTGCCCATTTTGGAAATTTAGTCACACACTTAAAACTACCATGTCACAATAAAACGATACTAAACTACAAAAAGTCACTAATTCGCACGATACTAATTATAACGACTAACGAGAGGTTTAAATACAAATATTTATTGTCTGAAATTAGAACAATAGAACAAAACAGCGAAACAAAAAATGCAACATAAGTCATAAAATTAGGAAACGTAATGGGTCTACCCCACAACTGAACTGTAAGCGCGTAAATTCTTGATGCCAGAAGGAATCAATGAAACAACATAAGGACTGCACACAAAGAATCTATCTAAAAATATGACAGTCTCTATGAAGTTAACACTTTACATTATACACCTTCGAGTCAGGTTGTGACCATATACTGGGTGTTCATCCATGAGCCCAGCCTGTGGTCACTTAGGTACACTTCTCAACCTATTCTTGTTCAATTTTCAGAATTGGCTGACATTGTCGACCGTGGTTTGTCTATTATTAAATACAGCTGCAGCTAGAACCAGAGGAGCCTTTTCGTTCTCGGATTTTTCCAGATTCGATAACAGTTTCCAGGGCTATAAAGAACCAACTAGTCAACTGTATTCGTTGGGTATCGACTCGTTTTTACCCTATGGTAAGAATATATTTTAATTTAAATTGAATTCAATTAAGAGCTTAAAATTTAATGAAAACGAAACAAACAACGAGCGAATTGTAAAATATCATTTTAAAACGTATTTCCCCAATATTTATCTTAGAAGTAATTTAATTAATTCAACTTCTCAAACATCACAATTTGTATTTTTAGGTAACAGTCTCACAGCATCGAAACTCAACATTGCTTCGGTTGCGTTGTCGAATTCAGTGGAGAAGCCAGTGCAAGAACCATCAGATCCGCCTTTGCCACAACTAACAGGTACAAAATTGGGCTTTAATTAATGTTTATTATAATTCAATATAATTCCAAGCCACTTTGGCCTCGAATCCATCATCTTGTTGCATTTAAACTTGATGCCAGATTCATTCCTTCAAAATAAAATACTGAATTATGTAAGCAGCTCGAAAGTTACATGGGAGCCATTCTAGTCATTTCATAAGTTTTCAGCCAAACTTTTGGCAACCTTATGCAAGTTTAATTGAAAATAATTTTCCAGGCACAGCTGTAATTCCGTTATTGCCACCCCCTGCTGTGCCGGTAAACGCTGCCGCTTCTAACGTACCCTCAAACAACGGAGCAGTGTTCCTAGGATCCGGAGCTTTAGGAGTTGTCAACCTAGGAAATGGTAGATAAACTAACCGTGCGTTCGTTATTTTGGTCCGAGTTCTCCGAGCTTGACTTTACCGTTCGTTTATTTAAAAAGTGTACTCGGTGCAGCCTCATTCGCGTTCGTTTATTAAAATTTCTGGCACTTTTATTCAGCGTTCAACTGCTCTGTTCGCTCACTGGTCACGTGATTACGGCTCCGCTCAGCACGCTCTGCTCTTTGAGCAAAATACCGAACGCAAGGTAAGCTTCATAAGCTTGCATCTAAAAGCAATAATATTTCAGGTGCGTATGCCTTGGGTTCGGGAGGTATAGGCTATTCGGACAATCGCCAACAACCCAGGCCCGATGGTAGGTCGCCCTTATACCCACCATTACCAGCAAGTCCTAATTTGGTTCCCGCAGCCAGACCCAGTCAACAAGTTGCCTCAGTGCCACAAATTGATTTGACAGGGATAACGCAGGAATATCGATATGATCAGAGTCTATTTGTACCTAATCATGTACCACAACAGCAATATGGTAAAAAACGTTTAACTCCGGTTGTGATATTTATGACCAAAAATAATTCTTGTTCCAGATCAGAACGGTTACGAACGTCTGGATGCTTCTAGTGCAGGTTTCGGTCAACCGGTAATCAGGTATAGACCACTCAAGATCAGAACGAACTACGCTACTCCGACGGTGGCTCGAGTGACTCTGGAACAGGCTCAAGCCAATCAACTGCCGCAATCTGGATTTGGTGATCCTATTCCCACTTTGTTGCCTCAAACTGTTAAATATGTTTAGTGTAGAATTTTAAGGCTTTGTATGATTAAGTCCAAATCATTAAATTTATGTCTCATGGAGGCATAATTATAAATTATTGAGATTATAATGTGTTGTGAACCATCTTCTGGGCAATACCCGCCGTCGCCAAAGCGTCAATAAGCAACACTCACATTATAAGTATTACAGTTTTTGTGATTTTTTGTTATAATAAATATATTTTTTTAAATAGTAAATAATTTTTAATCAAAAATAGAAAATGTACATAAATTGAACAAATAAATAACATAATCATCACCATCCACTACCATAGCTATTGGACCACCCATGATGACTTTCTTGCACTGGTACCACCACAGTTTTAGTAACTGGTACAATTACTTTTTGAACCACTGGTAATGGTACATACTTTTTGATAATCACAGGATGTTGGTGATGCACAACAGGCGTTTCTTGGATAAATTGCTGATGAATCACCGAATATGAATGAGCTGCTGGTTGATGGTAGCTTGGAAACTGACCCCAATCTTCATGTTCGTCCAAATTGAGGCCTACGCTTTCGCCGAAAACTCCACGTTTGGATTTTTCCGATGGGATCGTTCCTGCTTGGACTGCAGCTAGTATGGCAACAAATATAAAAGCCTATAAAAATAAATAAAAATGTGATTTCAAAAATAAATAAAATTGCTGCTTTTACTTACTCCTTTCATGGTGGTGAACTGTAGATAGCAAGTTTGATTGTGATGAACTGATGAACATTGAAAGCTTCTTCAGGATTTTATACTAAAAAGGCAAGGTTTTTCTTTTGCAAAATTAGGAAATATTAAATAATATCTAATATATTGATGAAGTTACAGCATCATACAAAACAGTGGCGTATCTTGAAACATCTACCACACAATGTAGGTATAGTTATTAGCAAACTTCATATCATATTTGTAGTATTTTAATTTGTTTATATATTTTTAAACGTTTAATTTTCTACACAAGTACCATATTGATTGATTAATTGATTGATTTTGTCCATTCTCTAAAACATATGCTCAGCACTACAGCCTCAAAGACTTATTGTGTATCCTTATGCATTTGCCCTACTCCCCCTCATTCACAAGTATCTACTATTTGAACAAATTTTTTGGCTACTATTCAATGTCCGTACTGTCTATGGTGCATTATTATTGTAAGTTACCCAAAAGGGAAATTATGAAACAAAATCTGTCCAAATACGCACCCAATTAACAATGCTACATAATTTAATTGCTTTTTTTTTAGGTCCAACGCTTAACATCTGACAATTAAGTACCTACTAGCATTTACATAATGGTGTAAATTTCTTATTTAAATTAGTCTAAAAGAAGCCATAATCATCGCAATCTCAACATCTGTTGTTTTTATCTTATTGAAGATATTATTCGTTTAGATTTGAGGATTATTTTGCTGCAAGAGATTTGATTCTATAGATTTTCGAATCGGTAATGAAAAGGGTCTTCTCAATCATTTCATCGAGCATCATTTTTTACCCAGTAAACTCAACTACATAAATTTAGGGTAGAAATGTACGTACCTAACTACTTTATCTTATTACATAATTTTCAAGTATTTTCCAAGTCACAATAATATGGTAAAATTTAACCTAATCGTTACGTAATGCATAATGTAGATATAAATGGTAAGTTAGGCTCCATAAGCTTGCATTAAAGGACTACAAGTCCTGCAAATTTTGCCTGATTTCGAATTATAATTCCAGAAATGTGTTAAGAACTAGAGGAAATAATTTTATGATTTTTCAACTGGAATATTTTCAAATATTTCGGTTTTGAATTGAATAACAATATAAGATCCCAATAAATGGTCATTCCAAGTCAAAAATCCCTTTCAACATGGAAGAATTTTAAACTTCAACATTTTTCAAGAATTTAAATATACACGGTATAATAATGTGCGCCTCATTCTCAGCGTTTGGATTCTGCGCTCATAAAAAACTCTTGCACCTTTCCATACTTCTGGAAATTTCACACTGGCGGGATATTTGTTCGGACTAGCAATAATGTGCCAATTAAAGTTACTTTATATTTATTTGTGTGAGTATAATTAATTCAATCTTCATTTTATACTTATAACTAGGTACCTACTACTACCCTTTCAGAAACTGTGTTTTTTTCTCTCCTAAATTTGTATTTGATGAGTATCTATCCTAATAAATTTTATGCCGCACTAAGTGAGTTAGTACTAATATTATCCAAACTCCTTTGATATAAATTATTTAACAATATTTTGCACCAAAAATAAACTTTGACCCACTATGAAGCTCAATACATCAATATTTGTTGCTTAACTGAAGCATAAATAATTACTTCACAGGCGCTCATTCAACTGGAAGCTTGAAACTATTTTTAGCTGTCTTTTCCAGCTTTCTCCTCAATATCAGCAATAGAAATAAACTACGTCAAAGTACCAAACGCAGTAAAAAACAACACACATCGTCCAGTAATTTTAGATTGCAATTATTCAATCAGACCTGACGATACCGAACTTGTGGTTCAGTGGTTTTTGAATGAGGAATTGGTTTATCAATGGATACCGCCAAATAAACCACAAAGTACTGGGCTATTGAAGGTAAATTATACTAATCATATTAAGCACCAATCGAAAAAACTAATGTGCGTCTTCATAGAATAATGTTGATCTGAATTATAAAGCAACCGACGATCCCAAAACAGTTTACCGAGCATTAAAAATCATCAATCCTTCTACCGATTTGGCTGGCGAATATAAATGTTTGGTATCCACATTGGGGGATCACGATTCTAGGATGAAGAATATGATTGTTTTTGGTAAGGCTCTATGCTAAAATACTGGTGAGACTTAAAACATGTTTGCAGAGCCTGAGAATCAAATGATTATAAGACAAACTGCAGATGAAAAGTATGTTAATTTTACTTGTTTGGCTACAGATGTTTATCCATCGCCGAAACTTTCCCTTTATAAAGATGTTGGACATTCTAGGTAAGAATTGTGTAGTTTTATAATTATTTGTTGACAAACAATTTTTTTTTAGGATGCGACTATCTATAACAGAATGGGATCTGAAACGCAATCCAGATACTCAGAAGTTTACCATGTTCATAACAGGAACAGAAAAAATATCCGATCTTGATCTTGGGATGCTCATACATTGCGAATTGAAGATTCCTGGTACAGGATATGTTAAGTTGAAGAGTTTGTTGTATTATCCGGATTGTAAGTATAGATAGACGCATTTTTTATTTTTTTTTGGAGTGCTTATACTTTGTATTTTTAAGTGTATAAAACAGGATACGGTAAGTAACATTTGATAACAGTCATAGAGGTGGTTTTATTGAGTAGAGTGTGATTTTTTAGGCTGCCAAATGAATCTTATTTCATCCAGCATTTTAATTCATGGTTTCTTTTGCATTCTACGAGTCTTGATGTAGAAGAAAATTATCTGAAATTTATTATGTACTTTGTATTCCGCGGTAATAAAAAATGTTCCAAATCCAAAATAGGGTGTTATTTATAGCTTAAGGCCGTTTTACAGCTTGCAAGAAAACTTGAACGCAATTTGTTGCATGCAAAATAATTGCATTCAAGATTTCTTGCACATCGTTTTACACCTTGCAATTTGACTTGTTTCCTTCTCTAACCTTAACCATACTTTTTTGTTTTCAATGTTGTGTTGTTGATGTTTGCATTTTCCAAAAATAAAAAAAGTGATTATAAGTCGATATAAAAAGAAGAAAGCAATAGCAGCAACTTTAAGCATCATACCTAATTGCTAAAAATTCGCAAGCTTGCACGAAAACCTTCAAGAAAAATGGCACCAAACCGATTGCATGCAATGCCATTCAAGTTTCAAGAATCTTGCAGAAACCAATCAGCTGACTCACTTCTGCGCATGCCCTCGTTCAAGTTTCCTGCATATTGCAGATAGAATTGCAAGCTGTAAAACGGCCTTTAGGTTTTTTTTTAGTAAGAAAATATTGCCTTTTGCCTTGCAACAGAAATATAACTTGAACGTCTCAGTGTTATTTTAATTTCATAAAAAAGTTAAATTTGACCTATCAGTGTGGATTGCTAGATCGATTAAAAAGTTATATTTCTACATCATAGTAATACCAGCACATAATATCTGCATAAAGTACAGTAGGTACCTACGCAGACAGCACACAGGCATCTTAATGACGTCATTAGGATATCCACAAACGTCTGCTTGAAGACGTTGTAAAGATCCCAAAAAGAATTAATGCCATAAATTACAGGGATTTGAAAGTGAAAAAGGGGAATTTTCGGAAAAATAATTTTGTTGTAGATAATGGCGGACCAAAGTATACTGGGGATGGATTGGCTGGATGCGTATGGAATGGGGTTCGAGATGGTAAATCAAATTAAAGCGGTTTGGTAACTTATGAGGTAGTTGTTTTTACTGCCAGCTCTCGGACTATAATTTTGTCCATGCTTCTAGATTAGAAATCTTCCATTGCCGTTGACACATACAGTGGCGTTCCAAAAATATTTGAGATTGTAATGTGGAAACTCAATTTGAATCACCCTCTAGATGGTATGGCGATGGTGCAGCAGGGGCGGATTAAGGCTTTTTTTGCCCCTGTGCGATTGAAAATCATTTCGCCCCCTTCGAGGCTCTGGCTTATAAGTAGAGTAAAAATCAAACGAGAAGCCATTGACGTCAGCGCTGACAAAGAAGGCTGGGCAGGAACTCTGTAACGGATAGAGATCGTTATCCCCCTCGCTATAGCACTTGCTGTCTTCTTCTCTCTTGTCGAAATCAATAGAGAGGAGACGTTAATAGAAATAGAGAAAATATCTCTATTCGTTACAGAGTCACAGCCCACAGGGCTGGAACGCTGTAACAAATAGAGATCGTTATCCTTGTCGCTATGGCACTTGCTGTCTTCTTCTGTCTTGTCGAAATCAATAGAGAGGAGACGTCAATAAAGATAGAGAAAATATCTCTATCTATTCAGATTTCCTTTTCTCTGGGTCCCTCCCATTTAAAGTGAGACAAACGATAACAACGCGTGTGGCTTCTTCTCGTTTGATTTTTACTGTACCTATCATTATATTTTATTTTTTCATTTGAAGATTATTTAATATAAAAAAGACAAATACTTATGCCCGTTTGTTCCATAGACATGTTTGTTCCGTCTTCGAGTATTGAATTAAAAATGGCATGAGACAAGTTGATTAGTGCCAGGTCTCCTGTCTTTTCATCAGAAAGTGTGTTTCTAAGATAGTGTGTTTCGAAGATCCTCCTTAGGGTCGATTTCTCAATAGCGAGTCACCTCCGGGTTGGTTTTAACTCCAGGGTAAACGTGTCGAGTTGCAGTGTTTACCCTGGAGTTATGCTTAAACCAGGGATGACTTGCGATTGAGAAATTGGCCCTTAAGATGGAAAAGGACCTCTCTGTTAGTCGATGGAAGGCAAAGATAAATTCTCAGTGCTACCTCGATCGATATTGAGAAATGTCGAGATCAGTTTTTCAGAGCACTAGAAATCAGAAAATATTTATATTGATCACATTCCTGAAAAAAAAAAATATTTTTCTCCGAATGACAGTAAAAGCGGCCTTTTAATGACACTTGACAGGATCAAAAGTTGTATTTTTACTGCCTAGGCATTAAAAGTGACAGTGTCACAACGTTCCAGGTAATAATTTCACTCAATTTGGTATTTGAAATTGATGGTGACAATGACAATTGTCAAAATAATTTAATTATTTGGATAATAATAATGAATAAAATAAATATAAAAAAGATGTGCATGTGTGAATTTGAACATTCGGAGAAAAACTTATGTTTTACATTGCAGAAAAGCAGATTTAATGCATCGGCTGGTTTCCTAGCCGAGGCATGAAACATCAGCCGCGGCATTAAATCTTGTACTTTTCTGCCTAGTGAAACAAATAACTATTTTGCGATTTTGTTTTTATTTCCTTGTCAGATAATGACTACGTTTATTTCACGTGTTGTATCTGGATATTAGGTGGTATTATTATTAAAAGGGTTTAATAATTCTGGAATAAATACCCACGCATAGCACCCAGAGGATTTGAGAGTTTATCCGGATCGCAGTACTTAATCCAATCCTCCAAATTTGTGGGATTGGACTTAAAATGGATTATCTCGAATGTGGAATAAACACCTCTAATCTCGGATTTCAGAAGTTTTTTGCTAACTGCAAGGAAAAATAGCCTAAACTAATAAAAACCTAAAAAGTGTATCAGCGATTGCCTTTAATGAAGTTAGACACAGAGCAATTTGCGCTTGCGCTTTTAACAAGGCTTAAGAAAGGATTTACACACTAATCTTAATCCATTTAATGCCGGTACTTTTGCTCTCATTTGACAGCCGTTAAAAATAATCAGGGATTTGAATGTGCTCTAACCATATCATACTTATAGACCTTGGCCCATATGCAAAACTTTGACGACGTATCAAATTCGTTAATCGAGAGCAAAAGTATCGGCCCTCAATAGTTGAAATAGTGAAATAAACAAGTATGGATAATTATTAATCCTATCCGGATTCAAAGAGTGGAATAAACGTAGTCAATATGACAATTTGTTCCAAATTTTGTTATATTTTGTGTAGGAAGTCGAGTTTTTGTCATTTTGCTGTCTGATGTTCTGTTTTTTTTTTCCTCTCATTTTTCTTGTGGGTTTTTCAAAATTTTTCGCTCCCTTTGACTTTTCGTCCCTGGGCAATCGCCCAGTTCCGCCTTATGGTTAATCCGGCCCTGTGGTCCAGGTGCATCAAGGCTTTTTTAGATCTCGTTTTCATCTCCCTCTTTGCCTATGCCTATTTATGTTAATCAAAATTAAATAATATTTTTTCTACAAACGTCACTAAAAGTTCAGTGGCGGCTTGTCAGGGGAGGCACGGGAGGCAGTGCCTCCCCTGTAAAAATGCTACAAAATGTATTCCTACATAATTTTAACCCCAAAAAACGACGCTAATTTTTTTTTTTTGGGCTGCCTCCCTTAAAATAAAAGTCACGGGCCGCCACTGAGGAGTGGCATTTTTAACGGATGCTGTCAGTGTCTAAAATGCCATTTTATGACACTGGTGTTAAAAGTGATTACTTTTAGCACTGAGTGCTAAAAGTAATCATTTAGCACTGAGTGCTAAAAATAATCTCTTTTAGTTCGTTTGTAGAAAAAATAGAGTATATGATATCCGTGCTAAAAGTGATTTTTTCTATTTTGGTGTCATATCGAAGTCTTTTCGACACTTAAAAGTAGTTTCGAAAAGAAGCTCTTTGTGACATTCCTTTTTTACTTATCGGAGGTTGGTAACACTGGCTGACTGATGGCCATCGAACTGTCATTCGCGATTTTATTATTGAAGATTTCTATATTTGGCATGTAGTGTTACCAACCTAAATATATGAAATCGAAATATGAGAATAAAATTTCCAAGAATTTTTTTTTTTTTTTTAATTAAACAATACCAAAATAGAAAAAATAGCATAAAATATTCGTTTCATAAGACATTTTTTCTACTGACATTTCATAATACGCTATTAAACGATTAAAATCTGTATCATAATGAACTTCATTATGATACAGATTTTCATTATAATACTGATTTTTAATATCATACAATGTAGATAGATAGCACCACCAGTTAAGATATTAAACATTTTAAACGGTAATTTTGCGTAAAATAATTATTTTGATGACTATAAAAAGGATTTCGAATTGTTTAAAAGTTATCTAAAGTTTGGGACAAAGAATTATTATTACGGAAATAATGAGTGATAAGGAAGAATTTTTACTTTTTTCATTATCATACATTGTCAATAGATGGCGCCAGCAGTTAAGAAATTTTGAATTATTTTTTTTGAATGTTGACAGCACTCTGTTTATAGTTTTTCCATGGTAATTTAGCGAAAAACAATAATTTTATAAAAAAAAACTTCAAATTGTTATTAAAAGTTACCTAAAGTTTGGGATGAGACATTATTATGGAAATATTGAGTGATCACGAAGAATTTTCACTAACACCTCTAGAAATTACATAAAGGGCGACAAATGCAGGTAATAAATATACTACCGGACAAGTCCAAGAAAATTTACGAAAAATTAGGACAATTTATGGATTGGAAACACCAAAAACACACCGTCCTTCTCAGAAAATGTTTTGATAGTATATTTTAAAGAATTACAACAAAAAATGAAACCTTCAACTGTATGGACGCATCACTCAATTATAAAATCTCTATTCAAAGTTGATAATGTTGACATTATCTAAAAATCATAAGTTTTATCAATTGCAGTAGAAAAAATAGTGTATGCAACTCTCATGTAATGGCCATTAATACGCTCGCATGTTATATACATATCCTACAACATGCTCGTGTATTAATGGCTATCATTACATGATCATTGCATAATAAACTATTATCGCACTCGCCCTTTAGAAAACTCGCCTCCGGCTCGTTTTCTAATATATTGCTCGTGCGATAAAATGACGTCTTATGAAACTTGTATTTTAATGTACTATTTTCTATTTTGGTGTCATATCGAAGTCTTTTCGACACTAAAAGTAGTTTCGAAAAGAAGCTCTTTGTGACACTCCTTTTTTACTTATCGGAGGTTGGTAACACTAGCTGATTGATGGCCATTGAACTGTCATTCGCGATAAAAAATAATAGAAGATTTCTATATTTGGCATGTAGTGTTGCCAACCTAAACATATGAAATCAGGAAATATGAGAATAAAATTTCCAAGAAAAGTTTGTTTTTTTCAATTAAACAATACCAAAATAGAAAAAATAGTATAAAACTCGCCCTTTAGAAAACTCGCCTCCGGCTCGTTTTCTAATATAGGGCTCGTGCGATAAAATGACGTCTTATGAAACTTGTATTCAAAGTTCAAAAAACAAAGAAATTGAATCAAAATAAACATTCAAAAAGTTTGGTGTTTTTATTTTGAAAATCAGAAAATCTACAATATACACTTCATTATTTTCACCTGAAACTATCTAAGAAAATCAGGAAATCGAATTGGCAATAGATAATATCTATTTACCTAACAAGTGCGGAAAATGAATTTTTCCGCAAGTGTTAGGTACAATATTTTTCCTACAGGCGAAAAAATGTAAAATTTTACTTTTTTTTTTGACATATCAGTGCGGAAAAACTTTTTCCGCGCTGATATATCAAAAAAAAAAAGTTTTACCGCACCGTGCGGGAAAACTCATTTTCCGCACGCATATCAGTGCGGAAAATCGATTTTTCCGCACGGCTGTAGGAAAAGTCTCATTCAATACATAAAGTTAGGTTTTTAGGGCGAATATTAGGCAATATTTCGCGAGGATAATCAAGCATACTCGAGTATGCTGGATAATTGTGATGTGTCAATTCTGTCGTACTCCCCTAACTCCCTCTTCATCAAAATCTGAGCCTGCGAGTGACATCACTACCAGCAGCTTATAGTGATGACGTCACCCGCAGACCCCGATGGAATGCTTGCGATTTAGGCTGTGCTAGTGAGTTAATTTTTTAGTCAATTTCAAATCTAAAAAAGGTGATTTTCGGTTTGTTCTCACAGAAGAAATTAAGTGTTCTTGATCCTCGAGTATCCCAGAATTGGATGGTGGGGGAGTTAGGGCAGTATGACACAAATGACACATCACATAATCCAGCAAAATATTGTGCTTGGTTATCCTCACGAAAAATTGCCTATTATAAAACTATTTTGACAGAATAACTGAAAGTTAACTTCAGGAATGACAGAAATGACGTTACTTCTCATTGCAATTCCAGAAGTTAACTTTGAGTTATAAGTCAGAATAGTTTTATAATACCCGCCCTTAGTGATACAACATTTTGGTCTAATTTTTTATTGAATGAAATTATAAAGGTTTTTTACGTTATATTTAGGATGACGTCAGAGAACAAGGACTGACAATGTTGTCAATGCCTATTTGTTTTCCTATAATTTACCAGAATGTCATAGTGAATTGTCAAGACCACTAACAGCTAAAAATAACGAAATGAATCGATACGCGTTATTTATTTGAAAATGTTCATTAAAATCATGCAACATAGCGCGCCGTTGCCAACCAGAAACATCTGAAATTCCCCTAATTTCCCTACTTTAAATGCGTTAAGAAGTACTTTTAGTTTTGTCAGATTTGCAGCAGAAATTCACTAAATGTGGACGTCATCCTAAATATAACGTATTTGCGAAAGGCCCCGAAGTAGGCGACATCTATGATCAATTTTGGTACTCAAAACTCAGTGAACAACAAAGCAAGTTTGCATTAGGCCCCCGGCATTGTTTCTGGAAGACACTGGAAGTGTTCAATTTTCTACAGAATATTATTCATTTTTTTATGTATTTTTTCTGTTATATAAATCACAAAAACACCATAAAACACAATTTAACAAAAACTAACCTCAAAAAACTGGCTTTGTTGTTCACTGAGTTCGGCAGACATATTGCTATTTTTCGCGTAATTTAGCGCCATCTATTGGTATAGGAATTTCGCCACGGCGCTTAGGGGGCGCCGGATGGCCGGATCTCAGTCTCCCCCCCCTAGGGATAGTCATATCGCTACGGCCCTGCTTGTATTTTAATGTACTATTATTTTGTTCAAAGGGATGGAATACTCCGCCTTCGGCATCGTGTCCCAAACTACCTGACCTCTAGTGCAAACAGCTGATAACTTGTTAATGACGTCGGAAATGCTTTACAGGAATCTGTAACGGAATGCATCGACCAAGGCAAAATCAGCTGTTACTGTTTATTTTTATTATTTTTATATTCGAGATTATGTTGTTCAGTAAACAAAATTTAAAAAGTAGTAAATAAAAACACAAATAAAATCAAATTCAATAATAATTGAAGTTTTAATGGTGTAGCAAAAATGAGGCCCAAACCCCACAAGAGAAATGGACAGTTGCAAGGACTGGCTCTAGAATTTTTGAAGAAATTCGATGTCGATTTGGACAAGATCAGAGAGGAAGTCGATATTCGCAGATTCGAAATGATAGATTACGAGGAAAAAGTTAAATTCTCGGTTTTCGGCGAGAAAGAGTCGATTTGCTACGAAACCGATTTTGTCATTTACAATATCAATTTTCAAGCAAAACTACTCACTTTTGAATATGTGAGTAATTATCATTCTAATAAGGCAATCAAAATGGTTGTACCCCAAGTCCTCAGATTGCTAAAAATTCATAAATATTGTTTTCCAGGCAGCGAAATCTGAACTTCTCAAACTAGAAATAGACTGCAAAACTTCCAGCATAACTAAAGAAATACAGTATTGCTGCAACTCTTTGCAAAGGCGCAGAAATCTAAATTTAATGTTTTTAACGCTCATATCTTTTGCGAGATATTTAGAGGCGCGTCGATTGATTATCAATTTACTTTTAAAAAAGAACAAAAATGTTACTATTGAAGACAACAAAGATGGTGGTAAAATTGTAGTTTATTCAGACACAAAGAGGAATATTAAAGTAGGAGTATTTTGGAGTTTGGAATACAATTCTGATTATCAAATCAGCGACAAGGTGGAAGTTTACTATAAATCTGCTGGTAAGTTTTCCCAAATTTCAAATGAATAATAAATTATAATTTCTTGTTAGAACTTCCCAGCGTAGAAGACATTAAAAATCAATTATCGCATTTAACAGAGCCGCACTTAGAATTCATAGAAAAATACCACTTGTGGAAGAAAATATTAGATTCTTTGTCATTTGATCCTTCAATTATTGTTGTGGATAATGACAATTGTGTAGATAGATTCACAGGAAAGCACAACGGAGTAACAAGTACTGATTCAAATGGGGTTTCAGTAATTCGCTATCCAAATTTAATACCAAAAAGGGAAGTCAAGATTCAAGATTCTGATGAAGAACTAATTGACGATTCGTTTAGTGACTTGGCAATTAATCACAAAGTGCAGGAAAATATTGCTTCGACAACTACAAATGATCAAGTGATCTATTTAGATTCTCCAATGTGTTCCAATGAGCAGAATAGTTTAACGAAAGCAACAAAAAACGAGGTGATTATTGAATTGCCATCAGACACAGAGGATAATGATGTTAATTCAAATTTGAAAAAGACTAATAGTAGTGATAGTGAAGTACCTTCTAAGAGGTTGAAGATGAGTGATGATGATGATTTGGAATTTACTGGAATAACTTATTTGATACCAGATTAAAAAAGTTTTGATTGAAAAATTGTTTTTGTGCCAGGAGGAAAAAAAAAAAAAAAAACATTAAACCACGATTTATCATGATCTTTAATTATTTTAATAACAAAAATAACAGAATATATTAATCGCCTACAAGGCATAAATAAAGCTGCCTTCTAAAAGCTGCTATAATACTTAAAATTACATATGATAATAAAAAAAAAAATTCTGCCACCAATTTTTTAGTGTGGGTATATAAAAGCAATTAAAAATATGCATCCAATTTGATGTCTTTAGGGCTTGAAGTTGGACTGTGCCTCTCAACCACTTGTCCCTCTTTGTCAACGACAAATTTTGTAAAGTTCCACTTGATGAAGCTGCCCAAAGTACCACCTTGTTTCGATTTCAAGTAAACCCATAAAGGATGGGCATCTGCACCGTTCACATTAACCTGAAAACATAAGTAGTTTTAAAGCAATTAGATCAATAGAGATACAAAATTACCTTATCAAACAAGTCAAACTTAACATTCTTTTTAGAAACAAACTCACAAATCTGATCGTTGCTGCCAGATTCTTGGTGTCCAAACTGATTGCAAGGAAATGCTGTTAATAAACAAAAACTTAACACTCAAGCTTGTACGGTTTAAACAAATTCTCACCTAAAATCTTCAGGCCCTTATCTTCGTACTTTGTGTAAAGCTCGTTCAAGTCTGCATAGTTGGAATTGGTCAAGCCGCAAGCCGAAGCAACGTTCACGATGATACAAACGTGTCCACGATATTTCTCGAGAGACACATCGTTGCCTTTAATATCTTTGACGGTGAACTCGTAGATGCTTTTAGCTGCTTTCGGATTTTCCGGATTCGACATGGCGAAGCTGAAATCTATCTACCTTTTTTATTAAACTGTGTTATTACCGAGTACCTAATGACTAATCAATAAAAACAAATTTATTATTTATAGTAATTGTGTTGTTGTGACTTGGGAGTGAACTTTGGACCTTGAATTATTTGAATAGATACCTGACTCTGTTGAGAACAATACGGGATGTAAAATAAGAATAATTTTTTACGCACACAGGTTTTTAGCTGTTGGAATTATGGAGGATATTATATAGCAATAGATGGGTGAAAACTTGTGAAAATAGAAAAGAATCAAAAATTTGTTTGATTAAATTTTAAATTTGACAATTTTGACAGTATTTTAAAAACATGTCAATGATATTTCTTCCTTCTATCCGTGCGTTCGGTAATTTGATCTGAGTTCTATGAGCTTGAATTTACCGTTCGTTTATTTAAAAAGTGTACTTGGTGCTGGCTCATTCGCGTTCCTTTATTAAAATTTGGGACACTCGAATACAGCGTACAACTGCTCTGGTCGCTCGCTGGTAACGTAATTATTTACGTTACGGCTCCGCTCAGCACATTCCGCTCGTTGAGCGGAATATAATATAAGGAACATAATAGTTGTATTCCTTTCAAGAGTTTGAAACACTCGAGCTACTCGCTCCGGTGTTTAGTAGCCCCCGATTTGCAGGGAACAGATGCGTGGTGCAGTGGCGGCTCGTGGTGTCCAAGTAAGGGTGGGTGACAAAAATAAAAAACAGCCATGGGCAATTTTTTTTAGATTTTCAAGGCCGCGGCCTTTTCAAATATTGTATTAAAGCAAAGATAATCGTACTCCGAAGTAGGATTATCTTTGATTAAATGTATTTTTTATTTTTCCATTTTCTCTCCAGGGTTGCGGTGCCCACCTTGCCCATATGGGCGAACCGCCACTGGCGTGGTGCAACAAAAACTTTTCGAAAGGAATAAGCGCGTGAAGCCCCGGAGCTGTTCCGGAGCTCCTCCTAGGTGTGAAAGGAATTCAACTAATGACACAAGTCTGCCCCCGGATTCTATTTTACGAGTCGAGTCGGATTGTCTCGATATCGAATACGACAGCTCCGGACGTACCGTGTTGAAATACGTATGGAAAAATCGAAAAATAGAATCGATATTTTGTCAAATTCGATACGAATTTCGACTCGACTCGTAAAATAGAATCCGGCCTCTGTTTTTTTTTTATGAATACGGACGACGAAGACAGAACCATTCGTTCCCATGAGAACGCTGCTCCCCTGTTCCGAGAATAAAGTCCCTGGGGTGTGCACTCGGTGTGACGCCCAGGGTGATTTCGAACGCACTCCAGAATTGCTTATCGGCCTCGTTTTTGGTAATCGCCGCCATATTGGTGTGTTACCATTTTTGACGTCATAACTAATAGTCGTTAGCTGTTTAAACAGCCTCCGCTAAGGCGAGAAATATTATGCTGCCTACGTCACAACTGGTAGTTTGGCGGAAGGGAGCGATTTGTTATACACACAGGCCTAATGACAACTAATGAGGATAGGCCATTCTGTACTTCGCAAAATCAGAGCCACGCGGTATTGTTTAGTTTCAAAGTTGACAATGTCAAAATCTATCTTGGGAAAAAATAGAGTGTATTAGTTTTAATTATCCTTGGGTTGACGGTGGTTGCTGACAATTTCGGTTTTATACGGAACGCTTTTCCAATCGAAGACGAAGTAGTGGCTTTGATGATAAAGTCTGTTGTTTTTTTAAAGATAATACCCCAAGTCAAAAATTTAGTAAAGTCTGTTTTTTTTTTAAAAGATAAAAGTCAAAATGACATTATACCAGGTGTCCCACTAAGGTCGGCCAGGTACGATTATGGAAACCATAAACCTTGCGGCTGCGGGATTTTTTTTTTCTTCACTAAATCGGCCAAGAGAAATTGATGGAAATTATTTTCAAGTTTCTAGGATGACCGCTAGGGGGCGCAATTACGATGATATAGCTAGAGTGGCTAAATAAACCATTACATACAGTGGCGACAATAGAGGTCCCGCCGCCATCTTGCTCCCAACCTCTTGTTACTTTTAAATATTAATATATAGGATTTAAATGGACATCTATCATAAAAAATTGAAATCGACGTATTTGATGACCATTATTAGGTCCATCAAATACGTTGTTTTCCATGATTTTGATGGATGTTCACCCAAATCCCATATATTCATATTTAAAAGTAACAAGGGGTTGGGAACAAGATGGCGGCATTTTCAATATAAATATATGGGAATTTTGAACCAATCAAAAATAAGACAGCAATTGTCGCCACTGTGGGTTATAGAGTCACTGTAGATATAGCTAAAAATTCAACTTTTCTCAAGAAATCGCTATAAGATACTGTTAACAACAGAAATCAAAAATTCATCAATTTTTGCGCCAGTTTGGTTATTAGGCTTTTTTTCGTATTTTCAGTGATAAGGGTGGGGGAAGCTGATGAAATTTTTTTTTTAGAAATTGCTGTATCTTCCACACCCCTCATTCAAATCCATTCAATTTGGGTTTATTTGGAAGAGAATTTCATTGTTATCAAGAACACCACTTCGTTCAAGGTCGATAGTTCCCACCGAGTCTTCTAGAGGGCGCTGTTTATTCAAGATACAGTTTTTTCTAATTTTCATGAAAAATCCAAATGGCATAATATTATTTTTGTATTGCTGTGCTTAAAGAGCAAAAAAATATGTACATTTTGGCGCAAACCGCAATTCAATATCTGCATTTGTTTTCAATTTACGTAAGGTCTATGGTCTCCATAATATCGTACCTGGCGGACCTTAGTGGGACACCCTGTATATGTTGGCAGTATACCAGGTGTCCCACTAAGGTCGGCCAGGTACGATATTATGGAAACCATAGACCTTACGGCTTCGGGATTTTTTTTCTTCACTAAATCGGCCAAGAGAAATTGATGGAAATTATTTTCAAGTTTCTAGGATGACCGCTAGGGGGCGCAATTACGATGATATAGCTAAAAATTCAACTTTTCTCAAGAAATCGCTATATTAAGATACTGTTTTAACAACAGAAATCGAAAGTTCATTAATTTCTGCGTCAGTTTGGTTATTAGGCTTTTTTCCGTATCTTCAGTAATAAGAGTGGGGGAAGCTGGTGAAAATTTTTTTTTTAGAAATTGCTGTATCGTCCATACCCCTCATCTCATTCAATTAGGGTTTATTTGGAAGAGAATTTCATTGTTATTAGGAACACCACTTCGTTCGAGGTCGATAGTTCCCACTGCGTCTGCTAGAGGGCGCTGTCTATTCAAGATCCAGTTTTTCCTAATTTTCATGAAAAATCCAAATGGCATAATATTATTTTTGTATTGCTGTGATTAAAGAGCAAAAAAATATCTACATTTTGGCGCAAACCGCAATTCAATATCTGCATTCGTTTTCAAGTTACGTGAGGTCTATGGTCTCCATAATATCGTACCTGGCCGACCTTAGTGGGACACCCGTTACAATGTGAAATTGTCAATGATTTCAATTTTTTTATGTGGAAAAGCCTTGTGTTTCCAACATAGTTACTAAACTTTTGACTTGGGGAATTATCTTTAAAAAAAAAAACAGACTTTAACCAACCATGTCGGTTCCTGGAAATGGTTATGTCAAACATGTCACCGAGGCAACCCGCGCACTGAGGTGTTTTCTCGCGTCACAAAGTTTTGAAACATTTTTTAAAACAGTTTCACAATGACGTCATAACTTCTCTGATTGGATTGTATTCGAAACTGTTTGAACCAATATTGTGTGACGTCATGGGTTCATCGCGAGAATAAACTATCTCAATCCTGTTTTGAACCAGTTCCAAAAAAATTGACGCGAGAAAACAGCTCTTATCTTTGCCAGTGACATGTTTGGGAACCGCGTTCCGTAGACCGGTTTTTCAGGCACCAGATATTACGTGTCACCGTAAGCAAGAATGCAAACGAAACGCACAGTATGTTCGCACAGGAAGTTCATTGGTTGAAACCATTGTTGAAACACATATGGGTTGAAACCCAAGGTTCCTAAAATTAATAGGTTGTCTGGTAATGGTAAACAGATGACGTCATCAGGAGGAACTTATGGAGATTTGCATTATGTTTAGGCACTCCAGATGACGTCATAAAAGTTATCAGACAACCTACCTCTTTCAAACAACCTTGGTTGAAACCAATTTTCCTGACTGGTTTCAACTCATGAAATTTGCTCGCTCGACTGGTTTGTGGTACCAATACGATACCTATTCTTTCAAAGGTCTGTTTTGACATGGTTTTGACAGAAATTACAAATCAATCAGAGCGAATTTGATTGGTTGGAAATGGAAATAGTCGGGAAACTGGTTGTTGGGCCATTTGGATCAATACAAAAACGCTCTGACTGGTTTATGATTTCTGTGGAAACAGAATACTATGGTTTATTTTTTTCCAAGATAGATTTTGGCATTGTCAACTTTGAAAGATAAACAATGCCCCTAATGCCGCTTATTGGTCGCTATTGTAAAACTGATGTCAACCTGCAGAAACACCTCATTTTGCGACCAATCAGGGTCAAGCGTTATTGTTTAAGTTTCAAAGTTTTCAATGTCAAAATCTATATTGGGAACAAATAGAGTGTAGAGGCGTTTTCTCGCGTCTCAAATGTTTCAAAACATTTTTCAAAACTGGTTTAAGTAATGTCATTATGACGTCATAATGTACTGTTTCAAAACAGTTTTGAACCAGTTTCAAAAAAGTGGACGCGAGAAAACGCCTCAAGTCTCTACTTCTTCTCATATCGATATTAATATGAGATTCGTTCGGAGCAATTTATTTTATTTCCCTTTTGGCTTGGTTCAAAACCTCGTATAGGTTATGTCTTGGTTTTTACCAAAACTACTCTGATCACGTGATAAAAAGGCCGTACCAACTCCACTCCTGTTCCGCAGTTCCGCACTGGGCGCAGTAATTTGTAATTTGGGCTTCTACTCATACAAGATAATTTACCAATGTATTTTATCGTCAACATTTTGTAAATATTTATTTCATAAATAATTGGAAATAGACTTTAAATTCTTATTTCATGATTAACATAAAAAATGGTATTTCTCTTCAATAAAAACGAGTTTTTTTTCGAAATGAAATAGAATGAATCAGAAATTTTCAAATAAATTTCCTAATCTTCAAATTCCAAATAAATGATGTCACGTACCGCCCGCACCGGATTCGATGTGTCACATTTCAAATTTTGACGTTTCGTATTCATTTGTTTTTTAGGTTTACTCGAAAAAGCAACACAGAAAAAATGGTACGTAAACTTTTCCGATAAAAATAGCATTTTTTCTTAATTAAATTATTGTAATTAATGAAGAACATACGTTTAAATCGTTCTCTTTTTGCAGGCC